ATATACGTGCGCCAGAACTTCCGTTAATTAACGCAGGTGAATGCTAATGACTCCTGTTACGAAATAACTGCACGCAAAACGAGAGCTTTCGTCGACGATATTGAGCGCTGAGCGCCGGACGATCGCCAAGCTAGTTTTCTGTCATCTAAATCGATTCGACTCTTTCGTTCTTCTCTGTCGTCGGAACGTTACACGACACTTTACTCCTGACATTTTATTTCTTGTGAACTGCGTTCACGCAAATTCATACTTTTAATAATATGCAACAATTGAGGAAATGAAAAATCCAAAGAAAAATTTATAACATACATCTTTGAGAGATATGTTAACGAGCAGGTTCTTTGTTTTCGACATTTTTGCGCGCCATGCGTGCATTCATTTAAATTTTACGATGAAACATAAACGTGAGTTTTCTGTTTGAAATCGTTAGAAACGACTCGATATTTTCCTTCAAATTTATACAACGAAAACACCTGCTTAGTAACTTTGGAACATAAAGTAAATATTAACTTTCGTTTCAGTTTTATTCAATCACGGTAAAACACTATTGTACCATTGTTAATAATCGTCATCATCGTTCGTACGTTTATATAAAGCACATCCGTTTCGATGATCACGGATATCTATGAAATTGTGTTAATTACACATATATCACGATACGGCCCACGCTATGACAGAAATGAAACTATCGTCCTCTATGATGACAAGCGGACAAAGGTGGTTAGCGCGAATGTTCCCGCACTAATTGCATACCTAGTATGATAGATCTGCGATCATTAAATTCAGGTATCTTAAAAATCGCGTGCTATCGCCATTGAACGACGTCGAATCGATGATATTATAGATCTACTCAACGCGCTACACAACCTATAATATGAAATGAATGTCGCGTAGTTACCTGAAAATACAAGATACGAAACCTGGAATGTGAATAGAAAGTTTGAAATATTGATTCAATCGCATGTAGCTCTTTCAGAGTAATAAAATTCAGTCATTCTACACTTTTTAATTTACTTTTTCAATGGCTAATTAGTCTCATTTTTAGAAGAATTTTTAGAAGAAAGCTGTAGAATTTGACAATTTTTGAATTTTCGAATTAGTCGAAATAGGATTTTTATTTCCAATATTTTTCATAGGAATATCTTTAGATCCAAGCTTGCGTGAGAAAAATCTCATGAATATTCGAATAATTACATATACATGATTTTCAATTATGAGAATTTAATATTTTTATACCAAATCTTCTTAATATCAAACGTACGTAATTCATAGCAAATTTCTTCTTCCTCAATTAAAATTCAAAAGAACAGCATTGCATTAATCTTGCATTAACTTTACGTAGGATTTTTCCACCGCGCAAGTCGAACGACTTTGAATTAGAAGACATCACAAAAATTATTTGTCGTTATATTCGAGCAAGTAGTTGATCTTCAATAAGAAAGGAACGTCGAGAGTTCGATTGTTAACGTCATCGAGAGTTTACAGGACGGGAAAGGGTCTGAGAAAGGCAACTGCATAGATCGAATCACAGAACACACCTTTCGATGACTAAGGTTGCTCGACTGACGCCTTTCGTGGCCATAATACCTGAGTTTGAGACGGGCCGGCGGGTCAATTAGGAACATTGCTTTTTAAAAATTGATCAATCACCGCATCGTTGTTGCGGAGGCGCGTGCGCCGCGGCAGCTGTTCCCAGGAAGCACCTGGAATCACGGCGAGGGTGGAAACGAACACAAACGCTTTCGAATAATCAGCATCAGTCGCTGCGATGACTAGTAGACGGCGTCAGACGACGAGAGTAGAATGTAACGCGAAAACGCTATTTGGAAAACGACTCGATCGATCGACTAAGGAAACTTCTATCATTTCTTTCTCATTCGTATATTTTCCGTCGTTTCACGTTCTATACACGATAGACTATATTCTACAAACACGGAGATTCATTAAGTTATCCCCCCCCCCCGTATGTAATTAATTATGCGTTTTATCCAGCGACATTTACCTTTTCCCTACTGATGCCGAGTGAATTTACTCGACAATCCAGCTGCCTACCAAGTTGACACTGAATTTGCATAAACGATTGCCCTTGTTTCGGATTCATCGTGTGCACGTGAACTCGCGGCGGAGGCGTTGTTGAGTCTCGCGGAAAAACCGACTCTCGTAAATTTAGCCTTCATTAATACAAATATAATACGATCAGTCGTGAATCGATAAAGAAGATATTTAGTAGATGTGTAAGATGTGCGAATGGTCGATATGTAGCCGAGCACGATTCTCCGTTTCGGAGAACAGAAGCGTGGATTCCTGCGGTGCAATCGCGAATAGCTTAGTTTAACCCGAGGAAAGAGTTTTCGAGCTCTCGGGGGGTTCGCCGAAGGTGGCAAGAAGCAAGGTTTGGCCAGGCGAGTTCAGGGGCGGTCTGAGGTTAGGGTGGAAGAGGCGGCAAGACCTCGTAAAGGGAGTTTCAACGGACGCTGATATAAATTGAGCTTGCCATCAAGGCAAGCGGCGGGATCTGCCCAAGACCCTAAGATATATAGAAGTAGCTTTCAGCGCGCCATTGAAGAATAGTCGGACTCGCTTCACGGAAAAATGCCCGGAATCGCCGCAAAACCGAGATAACGTTTCTCTTTCTCGTGATTTCCCGCGATCCGGCGAGGATTGAAGCGTTTCCGCGATGAAAACTTAATTCATCATCGGGTCTCTCTCTCCTTCTCTTTCGTCTCTCGACAATGAATCCTCTCCATTCACCCGGAATAAGACGAATATCGTGAAATCTCCGGATACTGTCGCGCGTGCATACCAAGTAGAAACGGGAATCACTGTCCAGACAGCGTTCGATGCGTCGAATTCCGAATGACATTACTATTTTAGAAACTAGATCGACGCTTTCCTGTCGACAATTTAAACGCGACGAAATTAATCGAAACGTCGGGAAATCAGAATGACAATCGCGAAATGACAATTGAAAACCCAAAAACGTTTCTATGTACGCTGTTCATTCTAGAGAAATTTGTGTCGAGACATTCGGATATTCGATCGGCGTTCCTGTTTTTTTTTTGTTCGCGGCTTGATTAAAAATCGTAAAACAGCTGCACGATAGGTAATATTGAATTTCGATTTCAATCACTGTGTTCAATCAATGTGTGAACTAATATTTTCGCGAATGCTACGCGAATATGCTTATTCGTATCGTCAACGGCTGATCAACGATCCCGTTGTTACACTATTGTTTCAATTTTTATAGAAAAAACTTTTCTATTCTATCTATTATACCGGACGAGATATACGAAGATAGTGGGGAGCGACTAATATTTAATGAAAATAAATACTACATAAGTTGGTGCGATGCGAGCCTGATTGATGACGGTGGTCGGGCTTCTGTCCGAGGGTGGCAAGACGCATTACCCGGACCGCCTACTGCTTCATGTTGCGTTACGTCGTCAGAAGGGACATTTTCGTTGGACCATTAGTGGATCGTCGTGATCTAACATCACACCGAAATTAAAGTGTGAGAAATATTCTGAGTAACTCGAGCAACACGTCAATTTTAAATATTCCTCTGCTGATATTCTTTCGCTAGAATCGACGTACTGAGAATGATGAAAATTTTATTACGTCGATATAATATCTTTATATTTATTTATACGAATTTTCAAACACGGCTTTTTTCATTCAATTTCGAGAAAGGTTAAGATAAAGAGATACGTATATTCTTCCTAGTGCTGGCAACCTCATAAAGGGTGCGGAATTACCGATAAAGTGCATACTCGCGGCTTTCGCATACACGGCAAACCGTAAACTTGATCCATTTATACTTTATTATTATTTCACGGATGCAATATAGTTGGCTTAGGATGCCTGTCGTGA